AGGCGCCCGCCCCGGAGACGGCACCGGCGGCGGGGAGCGGAGAACCGGGAGGGGAGGGGGGTCCCCGCCGGCCCTTCCCGCCGCCGGGACTGACGTGCCGTGGGTGGCCACGCTGGCCCCGGGCGCGCCAAGAGGCGTTTTTGTTGCCGCTGGGTGGAGCGGGGCTGGGCAGCGGCGGCGGCGGCGGCGGCCCCCGGGGTTATTCCTGCCCTCCTGGAAGGAACCTGGGCCGGCCTTTCCCGGGTCACTTGGCTTACATTTTCCTTCTGGATTCGCGTTTCTCTGCTCTCCCCCTGGAGGCAGGGACCTCTGCCCCCTCCTGCCTGCCTGGCACGTTTCTGTTCTCCCCAGTAAACTATTTTCCTTCTCCACCATACCCTGTTGGGGAGAGTGTCAGCATCTCTGTGTGCCTTTTCTTATTGCATGCACCAAATACGTCCTCTGTTTTACCTCTATGACTTTTGAGACCACACTGGATACAGAGGAAGGGTTTTTCCTCCCCCGGATACAGATTGTCTTGGGTCACTGCTGTCTTACACCCTGATGATATGACTCCCTGAGGTTGTCCAGGTGGTTCACTGTCCTCTGATGCACAGCTTTAGTTCTTTGCTCCCTGCTCCAAATGAGGTGAGAGGCTTAAAACTGGGCTGTTCAGCTGTGGTTTTCACTGCTGTTAAAAAAACTACCCACGGATGGAGCCTGCAGATGCAGGAGCCCCAGGCAGCCATATGCTTCCACGGCCTTGCCAGAGGGACTGTGGATGCTCATGGAGCTGCCCCAGCTTTAAGGCAGGAGAAGCAACACCAGGTCCACTGGGTATGTCTGCAGGCAGCGGAGCAGGAGCATCCCCACACGTGGTGCTGTGCCTGGCCGGGTCATGGTGCAGAGCTCATCCCACAGGATGCAGTACTGCTGGCAGTGGGGACCTGTGGCAGCCAACAGCCACCTCCGTTTCCGTACCCAGCAAGCAGGATTTTTGACCTCTGCTGTGGAAAAACATTCCCATGCAGCTGCCAAGCAAAGAGCAAGGACTGGGCCTTGGTAGGAGTCGATAAATGGCTTTGCAGGGAATTATCCCAACAGTAAGCTCTGTCAGCAGGCCATGGGTGGTCAGGCTCAGCTGACACTACAAGCGTACAAGATTTGGGGCTCTTTTGGTGCACCTTGTGGGGCCGAGCACATTGCTCCTGGGGAGGGACAAAGCAGCACCATGGGGCTGTGCTGTCCCGGGAACATTGGGAGATGCAGCTCTGCCTGCAATGGGGTGACTGGGCTAGGGCAAGGACCCATGACAGCAGAGCGTGCGGGCAGCCCCAGCCCTGAGGGATGGCTGTGGGTGGTCCTCCCTTCCCCATAAATACTGCAGAGCTGCTGGGCATCCGCCATCACCGTCTCTTGGAGTGCAGCCTTGGGCTCTGGGCACTGACTCCATCACTCTGACGCCAGTCCCACATTGGCCACTGCCTGGACCACAGGGTCTGTCACTGAAATGTCCTCAGTCTCCCTCTGCCAGGGCAGAGGGAGCCCTGAATGTCACCAGCAGGTCCTGCCCCTCCTGCCAGGCTCCTGGGCTGCCCCAGGCACCCTGGTGCATGTGGCAGGGTGCTTAGCCATCCTGGGCCTGCTGGTGGGGGCAGTGGATGCTGTGCGGCAGGGCCTGCGGGTCTCACTGGGGGGCTGACAGGGCCATGCCAGCAGTGCTAGACAGCTGCCCACCATGCTGCCTACCCTCAGCTCCCTGCCAGCTCTGCAGGGGTCAGGGCAATGACAACCCGCAGCCCTGCACCTGCCACCACCCCCAAATTAACCCCGCCACATGCCACTGCAGCAGGAATGGGGACAGGCAGGTCCCCCATGCAGCCTGGGACAGGCAGAGCTGCATCCTGCCCAACCTGGGCACACGCAGGGCTGGCAGGGAAGGGAGGGCAGGGATATGCTGGGGACTGGGTGAAAGGCAGGCGCTGGGGTGACCCCTGTAACCCAGCGGGGGACACTCTGACACCCCTAGACCTGCTTTCCAGGCTGGATCCAAGCCTCTGCTGCTCTGTTCCCTCGGAAAAAAAGCTCTGCCCTTGCCTGCACAGCCCTGCTCTGCCTTCCCCAAGGAAGGAAATCTTGGAACAGGAGCTGGATGGGGGAGAAGGGGAAAGGGAAGGTGGCAAGGGAGAGAAGTTGTGCGAATGGGACAGCCCAGGGGAGAAAGCCTGGTGCAGGCAGGGGAGAAAGCCGGGTGCAGGCAGGTGATGTGGGCAGGAGGAGGAGCGCTCAGCTGAGGCACAAAGATGCTTTGGCAGCAGATCAGCCCTGACGTCACCCAGCACTTTCGGTTTCTTGGGAAGTGACGAAGCTGGAGCCTCGGATCTTCTGGCATGGCTGAAAGAGAGACCATGGCGGAGCAGCAGCCTGCGGCCAACAGCCCCGACAAATTCTCCATCTTCATTGAGACTTGGTTTGGCAGAACGTTTGCAGTGCCAGTGTCTCTGGATGACAGTGTGGGGGAGGTTATGGACAAGCTGAGCGCACAGGACTCCTCCCTGACCCGCGAAAGCGGAAGGCTGATCTACGGCGGCAGACAGATGGAGGACAACCTGACCCTGCGACACTATGAAATCACACCCATGTCCTGTTTGTCATATTTTCGAAGACGTAAGTGCAGGGTGGGCCGGAGGAGGTGGGTGAGGATCCTTCTGGAGGTGGGAGAGGGGGAGTGGGTGCAGATTGGGGTGTCTCCTAAGGAAGGACCCTGGCAAGGACCACAGGCAGGAGCCTCCGCAGGCAGGAGGGAAGGGACAAGGTGGCTGCGGCTGTGTGAGCACCAGGGACCTGCCAGAGCACACTTGCACTGGAATGTGGGAGGAAGGTGAGGGCCCAGGGATGCACCTATGCAGGAGGAAGGCAGGAGGGAGAGGAAGAACTCTGCTCCTGGAAGCTGAGCAAGAAATCTGCTCTTTGCATGGCAGCAGGGAGGGATGGGGAAGTGGAGGCTGGGACCGTGTTCTCAGCCCCTTCTGGGACAGGCAGCTGGGTCGGATTCCTGGTGCCCGGCAGCTTGGTGCGAGTGGGCACAAACTGGCAGGAAGAGGTTTCACAGCAAAAGCGTGAAGAAGAGGGAGAGGATGGGCAGAGGATGGGATAACCCTCTGGACATAACCTGGCTCCTGATCTCTCCTCTGCTTTGTGTTGCTCTTGCAGTGCGAGGTGGCGGTGAACCTGTCAAACGCCAATCTTTAGGTAATGCCCTGGTCCTCACTGACAACCTGGTGCAGCGGGGCTGGTGGAGCTGCATGGTGATGAGCATAGGCCCTCAACTCACTGCATGGTGGTGAGCGTGTCCCTGCCACAGCTCGTGGAGGAGAACGTGGAAGTTGCGGTAGATGTGGGAGCACGCGGTGGTATATGAGGGGACTGGTGCAGCTAATGGGATCAGGAAGGTTGGGTGAATGCTGCTCCAGGATGGCTTCTTCTCCCAAACGTGAGGCAAGAATGACAGTGTGTTCCTCTTGTTCCAGACATAAGGAAGATGGTGGCAGACCCTCACAAATCTCTGACAGACGAGGCCTCAGGGAGTGGACAGGTGAGGTCTCGCAGGACACGATGCCTGAGGCTGGGGTGCCTGAGTGAGGAGCACCACAGGGCTGGGGAGGAAGGCACAGCTGCAGCGCACAGGCTCACAGCAGGCCCTGTGGATGGGGGGGTCTGGTGCTGCCCATCACCACTGCAGCACCGTGCCGGGTGGTGGGGGCCAGTGGGTGCTGCCCTTGGTCCCAGCAGAGTGATCTCACCCTGCCGGCAGGCCAGGTGGGCACGACTCCTGCACCAGCCTCTTTTCTCCCTGCAGGAGCGGGGAGCAGGGCCAGCACTACACCTGATGCTGGGCGTGTTGCTCATGCTCTCAGAAGACCTCTCCTCCTGCCTCCAGCAGGCAAGGGCAGCTGTAGGGGAGAAATACAGCTTGTGAGTGCTTTCTCCTATGTTCTGCTCTGCAGGAGAGCTATCACCAGCTGGTCTTGGACCCACCACTGCAGAGAAAATGCTGGCGCTGCGTGAGGGAGGTAAGGGCTTTGCTGGTCCTGGCAGGGCACTGTCGCACCTGAAGGAAATAGCACAGCAGGGAGCCTGGGACTGACCCTGGTTCTCACCCCGGGGGCTGGGTGTGCCTTCAAAACCTGTTATTCGCAGCAGTTCTTCATCCTCCAGAAGACTCCAGTCCCTTTTGCTACACTAACTCAGCACGCGCTGCCCCAGCTTTCAAGCACATGGGAAGACAAGTTCCACTTGCTCACATCACAAATTTATTCTCACTGCTAAACATTTTGTCTGCCTGTGGCCACTGTCCTCTCCGCTGATACACCATGGCAGAGCAGGAACAGCCCAGGCCTTACAAGAAAGTCAGCAGCCAAGAATATTTTCTCTCTCAGGAAACAGAAACTTTCCTATCTGGAAAATACATTCTAAAAATCAGTGGATGAAACATGTAGTTTGGAGCTCCAGGAGCTGCTCTGTGTGTTCACCCCTTATCTTTCCTACTGATGCATGGGGGATGCATGGACTAACCGATGCCTTCCCCACCCCGGTGGCATCTACCCAAGTGGGGCTAAGTGTTCAGTCCTCCTTGCTGTGCCTGCACACAGGATTTCTCTTGGGCTCCCCTACAGGTACCCGCATTGAAGGGGTCACTAAGCCTCAGACATGGCCAGTGCTTGTTTCAGATCCCAGGACAGGGTTGTTGCCAGTCAATTTTTCTGGTCTCTTCACTGATGAGGGTGATGCCTTTCTGGGCACCAGGCAGCAGCTGCTGATCCACTGCTGCTACTTGCAAGGCTCCAAGCTCCCATGCCAAACTGAATTGTGCTTCACTGTAAATCCCAGCACGCCTCCTGCAAGCAGCAGCCAGTGTGCAATACCCCATCCAGTGGCAAACTGGCCACGCTCTTGTTGCAGGTTCTTCCAGAAGTGACACCGGAGATAACCCAAGACTTCAAGTGCCGCACCGTGTACCGGTAAGAGCTGTCGGGTGAAGCGGGAGCACCTTCCAAAAGCCCTGTCCCAGGTGGCATGAGCCTGTCATCCCTCCCACCTGCAGAGCTCACCTCCCTGGTGCAGGCATCTTCCAGTGCTCCATCACAGGCCTCAGCTTCAAGGTGAAGTCGGCAGTGACCATCACCTACAGATATGCCACCTGGACCAGGCACCTGAGCGAGGCTGACCAGGAAACATGGTCACCTGCTGGACCCCTCTTCCACATTGAGGTGCAGCCTGGGGTCGTGCAGTCAGTGCATCTCCCCCACTTCATCTGCCTGGCAGGTACAGCAGCTGCAGGGACCTGGGTCTCCCAAGCCACCATCCCTCAGCCTGTCCCCCCTGGGGATGTCTCCAGCTCTTTGGAGACCTCTCTCCAGACAGGGCCAAATTCTCCCTTCCCTCTGAGGTCCCCTGTACTCCCTTGTATTCCTCTGCTTTGCTTTGGCATCCTTCATCCTTCTCTCGCTTTCTATCAAGGCTTTGCAGTGATGCCCTCCCCAGCTCTTGCTCCACACCACCAGCCCCTCCTCACCCACCCTCTCTTCCCAGGTGCCATGATGATACCTGGGCACTATGCCAGCCCAGCTGCAGATCAGCCCCTGGGCTCCCCCAGAGAGTTTCTCAGTTCTTTGCATCTATGGCAGCTGTGTATGGCAATGGCCATCCCTGCTCTGCTCCACCAGGACAGGAGCCGGCTGGCTGTGCCCACCCACAGGCTGGACCACCCCAGGGTGGGATGCAGTAGGTCAGAACTGGTCCAGGCAGAAGAATAAGGGGAATGAAATTGTCCATTTTCACCCAGGCAACATGAGGAGCCACAAGGCTTGGACCTGGGACCTCTGCCCTGCAGTGCTCTTAATGAGCTGCTATTAATGAGCAGATATCATGGTTTAAACCCAGCCAGTAACAAAGCACCACGAAGCCTCTCACTCACTCCACCCTGCTGGCCATGGACGGGGAGGGATCAGTCCCCACTTACGGTCATGGACAAAAGACAGGCTCAGCTTGGGCAAGAAACAAAATCAATTTAATTTACTACAAATCAAGTCAAAACAAGGATAATGAGAAGTAAAACCAAATCTTAAAACACCTTCCCCCCACCTTTCCTTCCTTTCCAGCTCAACTCCACTCCCAATTTCTCCCCTTCCTCCCCGCTACAGCACAAGGGGACAGGGAATGGGGGTTGGGGTCAGTTCATCACACCTTGTCTCTGCCGCTTCGTCCTCCTCAGGGGGAGGACTCGTCGCTCTTCCCTTGCTTCACCTTGGGGTCCAGCCCGCGGGAGACAGTCCTCCATGAACTTCTCTAACATGAGTCTTTCCCACGGGCTGCAGCTTTTCATGAACTGCTCCACCATGAGTCCTTTCTACAAGGTCCAGTCCTTGAGGGAGCAGCTGCTCCAGTGCAGGCTTTCCAATGGAGTGACAGGCATCTTCGGGGGCATGTACCTGGTCTGGTGCGGGCTTTAGCATGGTGTCACAGCCGTCTTTGGGGGCATCAGACTGCTCCAGCATGGGTTCCTCCCTGGACTTCAGGTGAGCATCTGCTTCCCCACTCCCCTCCACGGGCTGGCGGGGGGAACAACCTGCCTCCTCACCACAGGCTGTGAGGGCACCTCCGTATCCTCAGAGAAGGTCCTCTCATATGCCAATCCCACTACTCACTGCAGGTTCCCCTTCTTAAATCTGTTCTCCCACAGGTGTTACCACTGTCATTGATGGGCTCTGCCTTGGCCAGTGGCAGGTCCGACTTGGAGCTGGGGAAGCTTCTAGCAGCTTCTCACAGGAGCCACCCCTGTAGCCCCCTCCCCTGCTACCAAAAAACCCCACCACACAAACCCATAAGAGCAGAGAAGGAGCATCAGCACCCGTGGCTGGGCTGCAGAGCATGCAGAGGAGTCCCAGTCCCTGTGCTGGGGGGCCCTGACACAGGCACTGGGTGTGCTGGCTGAGGGACTTTTCCTGGCAAAGCCAAGTCCTCTTCTGAAACAGAGCATGCCGCAAAAGGAGTTTCTTGTTGCATGGCTCCATCTCCTGCCCAGAGCCTGGCAAGCACAGCCATGCTGGCCGAAAAGCGGCTCTATGCACTCTTCACTGACATAGCTGTGCTAAGCAAAAAGCTGTAATTGTATTAATCTGTCAGGTTAATAGCAAAGCATGCTCCAGAGATATTCCAGGTGACTAGGCATCAGCAGAGCTCCCTGACCCAGTCATCCCTAGGGATGTCATCTCGGGATGTTTAGGCTGTTCTGGTGATCAAAGCGACCGTCTGCCAACCCGGTACATGGTGGTGTAGCACTTGTACACAGGATGCTGCACGGATGCAGTCTGACAATTTTCATGGTCCCAAGCTGCCACCTTCAGATTTGCAGTTTTCTGAGCCTGCAGGAAGACTGCCAAAGGCCTGCAACTCCCTGCTAAACCCCAAAAGCCCAGGGCACACATGGGACCTAAAGCAGAGCATGTCATCAAGTGTGGGTGCATGTGTCCTTTCTGCTGCTAAAGACTTAAAGAGAAGAAGCCAGCCCGAGAGGGTGCCAGGATGACTAAACAGAACCTTGTTGCCTTTGCTGACTCTTGCAGAAGATGTAAATACCAGCCTGTTCTCCATCGCCCATTTTAAATCTGGGACGATGATCCTGGAGAGACCGACCAGACTGATCGCTTTCTCTGCTGTCCTGGAGAATCCCAGCTTCTCACTGCTTGGGGTGCTTTGGAGGAGGTTACGTTCAACCTTAAATTCATTCCCTATGCACTCCTCGGTGCTAATCTTCCAGCAGCTCAGTGCTGCAAATACAACTCTTCACCTCTACCTGATCCCAGATGACAAGTCTGTGAAGCAGGTAAGATGGAGGGAACTTGACTGTGTTAAAAAAGGATGACATCTGGGCTGGCTGCAGTAGCAGGGGCTGGATTTGATAAGCTAGGATGCCTCCCATTTTTTTTGCCACCAGCCTCTGATTCACAGACAGTCCTGTGCCCCCATCTCCCAACGCAGGACAGCATCCTTGCCCCACTCCCCTGGTTCACAGATGCCTCCAGGAATTGCTCTCCGTGCTTTCAGCTGGGACAGCATGTCTGAGCATGAGCAAAGCCATGGCACAGGATGCTCTGCAACAAGGAGCAGATGCAGGACTTACTGGCCACTGCCAGCCACAGCAATAGCTGGCTGCATACTGACTGTTCTCCTGTTGTGTGCAAGCCCTTACTCTCTTTCACAGAGTGACAGTGCATAACTCTGCCCATGTTCCTGCCTGCACATGGTAGGTTCTTGCGTGCATTGAGTGGGAGCTGCCTGGCCCCTGAAGCACAGCACTGCCTGTAATACACACTCAGCGGTCTGTTCTGACTAGGTCGGTCTCTTCTCTTCTTGACTTTCCGAGGGCTACCTCCAGTTCACAGCTCTTTTTTTTTTCCTGTCTCAAAAGCAATGCTTGATGTTTACAGGCCGTTGAAAAACAAGAAATGAATTGGAATTCAAAGCTTATTCCCAAGCCTTCTCCGTTCAGCCCTCTGTTCTTTGGCTGCATTTACCAGGTGACCAGTACAAATTCCGTGGTGATAATGCCTGAAGTAAGTGGGATTGCTCCCTTTTCTTTTTTTTTTTTGCAGTGAAATAGAAAGTACAAGAAGTCTCTGTCTTCAGCCATATTCTGCTACCAGAATCTACCTTACTAGCTCCCAGAGGCAGAGGTGCAGGGAGCTGTACTAGTTACAAGTGGCAAAGGTATTTCATGATACACATCCCCAGAAAGAGCACAGAGCACACCTCAAAGCCCCAGAGGGACTGCGTTTGTTTTTCCTTATGGCAGAAGTCATAATGTGAGACTTGCTCGACTTACCATAGCTGCATATCAAGAAGGAATTTCAGAGGTGTTGACTCAGGTGTGGTCCCAAGTCCTTCATCTTCATCTCATCTGCAGTGAGTTTCCTTCAGCCCAGAAGCAGGACTGGAGAAAGACTTTCTCTCTATGCCATGATGTGACATGACTTCTTTCTCTATTGAAACTCCATTTGAGGATTTCTGATTTTGAGCACCATGCCCTGTGGCAATCAGATTGGAATGGCTGGGAAAATCTAGGAAGATTTGGCCATTTAGTCCCTGTGGTTACTTGTTTTATACAGGTGTTTGTGACATCCTGAGAGCAGCTGATGACAGTCCAATGGCACGTTCATCGCTGGTTATGAAAATCTCCTTTCATGGATGTGCACTGCACCATAATTATGAAAAGGGAATCAGAAAAACTTAGGTTGGGTAGGACCTCAGGAGGTCTAGGGTCCAACCACTTGCTCAAAGCATGTGAATTTTAAAGTTAGATCAAGGTGCTCAAGGCCATGTCTGGTCAAGGTTGAATATCTCCAAGGATGGAGATACCACAGCCTCCCTGGGTCTCCAGTCCAGTGTTGTAACACCCTCATTGTGATTTTTTTTCCCTATTATCTAATTGGAGCTTCCCTTGCTGCAGGCTGTGCCTGTTGCCTCTCTTCTCATCACTATGCACTTCCAGGAGGCTGGCTCTCTCTTTTCTTTAGTCCCCCTTCACATTATTAAAGACAGTGATTAGTTCTCCCTGTGACTTTCTCTTCTCCATGTCAAACAAATTCAATTCCCTCTGCCTCTGCTTGCATATCATGCGCTCCAGCCTGGAGCTGGCCTTGCTCCAGGTGGTCCATGTCTTTCTTGTATTGGGAAGCCCCAAACCCAGTGCCCAAATGCGGTCTCACAAGTGCTGAACAGAGGGAAAGAATCCCTGACCTCACTGTGCTGGCTGTGGTCTTGCTAATACAGCCCTGGTTGCAGCCAGCCTTTGCTGCCAGGGCACACTGCTGACTCCTGTTCAACTTCATGCCCACCAGGACTCCTGAGTCCTTCCCTGCAAAGCTGCTTTCTGCATCCACCCAGCGCCCAGGCTCTTCTCTGGTGTGAGGCTATTCCATCCCAAATGCAGGACTCTACATTTCCCTTTGCCAAATTGCATGAGCCTCCTGCCAGCTAAGTTTTCCAGCCTTTCCAGCTTCCTCTGAATGTCATCCCTCCCCTCCAGGTTATTCATCATTCCCTCTTGCAGCTACAATCCTGCTACTGAGCTAAGCGCTGCCCCAAACAGCTGGGGCCTTCAGCTTGTTTGAGAGACAGTCATAAACTGAATCACGAGGTAGGGTTTTGTTTTCCCACTTCCTGGAATGACCAGGTAGTAACTGGGCAGTCTGCCTTGGAGAGCAGTTGTAGAGATGACAGAGCCAAGCTCTCAGCAGTGTCAGGTAAAAGTGGTAAAAGCCATAAGTTGCAACGTGGGAAGTTCAGGCCAAAAGTTAGGAAAAATTTTATCACTTGGTGGAGATGCAGCCATCAGGGAAGGTTAGAAGGTGGTGATTCTCTGCTCTTTGAGGTTTTCAGTACTTCAGCTAGACAAAGCCCCAGCTGAGCAGATCTAGACTTGACATTGGTCTATCTTTGAGAGGTAGGTCAGATAAGAGACTCCAGAGGTCCTTTCCATCCCAAATGTGTGATATTGGCAGCATAGCAGAGCCTTGACATGTGCATCTTCCCTTGTCTTTCCTCTTGCTGGTATGGCCAGGAAACAAAGCATCATGAATGCGAATTCACTGCAGCTCCCCATGGTGAGAGAGACTCAACTTGCTTCTTACCTTTACAGGCACGCTTGCCATTTTGCTACAAGAGTCCAAGGGAAGAGCAGCTCTTTGTCGAGATCTACATCAGGAAGATGGCAGAGGAAATTAGGTTCTCTATGATAGATACACGCGATGACTCCGTGGTCTGGAGGGCATCACTGAGATCAGGTAGGAACAGCAGGTCTATCTAGGGACTCATTTGCCTTAGCAAAAGCAGAGGTGCACCGCTCAAGCAGACTTCACGCATTTTGTGGTCACACTTGTCCACGCATCCTGCAGGGAAAGCAAACCCTGTGCATGCAGCAATTGGCCACTGAAGAATAGGGACCTGAAAGGACACCCCAATGTGAGTAGACCAGAGCTTCAGATTTAATGTGGAATTTCAGATGCTGGGGTTTAAGAGAGCATGATGGTACTATCAGTGTCTCTGTTCTCTTGGCTACTGTATGCATAGAAATCTGACTTGTTTTTAAAAGTCCATTAATGTAATGAACACCCATGGACAAACTAGTGCAACCACTGTGCAATGCAGAGGAGGTAAGGAGAATTTTAGTGAAAATCAACATTTTACGTGCACCCGGCTCCAGACCAGCAGGTTGCTAATCTCCACACCTCTCTGCCCAGCTGCTGCTGGGTCGGCTCAGCAGCCACTGCACATGCCATTAACTTCATGTAGCAACACCCACCTGTGGGGTCCTCTGTGGGAAAGCTTGGCAGAGGAGCTGCGGGCAGCAGCATGTCACAGGCGCAGGGTATGGTACTGCTCAGCATGCCTTGAGACCCCTTCTCTGTTAGTCTAATCCAGCACCCCCTAAAAGTAACACCTACAAACACGCAGAGCCCAGTGCCTTTTATTGAGTTCTCCACAGATGGGCAGGAACAGTAGGAGGAATGGCTAACGGCTTCATGGAGGATTAGGCACCTCAGGAAGGTGGTGTGGAAGACGAGGCACCATCATTTCAGTGATCTCTCTCCTTTCTCTTTCAGGTGATATTAATCTTCCTGCCTGTGTCTCCAAGACCTTGTCAGGTCAGTACAGTGTTTCAGAGCTGCATTTATAGAGTCTGAATCTATTTCTTTGGAGCTCACCATCCTCTGGTATAAAGCAGATATCAGCCTCTTTTCCCATCTTTATGATACTTTCTAGACAAAAAGCCTTGAAAGGTGCAACCTCAAACTTTTATTCCCACCTTGCTGGCAGCAGGCTCTGTGCCATGCTGGTGGGTAAAGTGGGATAGCGCAGGTGACCCTCCAAACTGGTTTGCCTTCTTTGGGGGCAGACATGCTGTTGTCACAGAGAATGAGCTGCAGCTAGTACAGTTCACAGTCCATAAATAATATTTCATTGGACTTCTAGTAAGTGGTACAGCTGCTGCATCCCATACAGCCAGCTCAGGGGCTGACGGCCCCTGTGCCAAATGGGAGCATTTTTCACGGGAGTGAGGCCTCTGGGAAGGAGCTTGCAACCAGTCATTGGCAGAAGGGATGGCAGGGCCACCTTTACAGCAGCTCCAGGACTTTCTGACCAAGCGGCTTTGCTTCAAATACAGTAACAACAACGTGCTGCCCAGCAGTTTTGCAGTTTTTTGCCCAGCCTAATTTCTCCAGGGCTGCAATACTTCATTACCTCTTACATCTCATCTTACTAATGAAAGGCCAGATCCAAGAGGACACCCAGGCAGCTAAGCCACAGGTTGAGGCAGATAGGCCTGGCTCAGACAGACACAAATTTGGACATTTCAGCATTATTCTTTTTCCTTGCCATGCATGTGGAGTCACCACACTGGCCTAGAACCTGCCTGAGAGCACCAGGAAAGCAGGGTGGCAGATGAGAGCAAGAACAGGACAAGGGGCAATGGTTTTAAGCTGAAAGAGGGCAGGTTGAGATTGGATATAAGGAAGACATTTTTTACGCTGAGGGTGGTGAGCCATTGGAACAGGTTGCCCAGAGAAGCTGTGGATGCCTCCTCATAGGAACTGTTCAAGGCCAGGCTGGATGGGGCTTTGAGCAACCTGGTCTAGTGAAAGATGTCCCTGCCCATGGCAGGGGGGTTGGACTAGGTGGTCTTTAAAGGTCCCTTACAACCCAAACCATCCTGTGATTCTAGAAGGAGATGTCCATCTGGGTGCCCACTTCAGCCTCGCCTAGGAGGACTGGGTGGAGGCTTGGGAGGAGAAGCCAGGCAGTGCTGGCCACTGCACTGACCCAGGGCTTGCTCAGCACCCCACTGGCGTCGGCTGCCTTTCCAGGCTCTGTTTCTTTACAAACCGCTTGCAATCCTGTAAGATTCCAGAGCTTTGAGAGACCTGTGCTCCGAGTTAGGAGCTCCTCACCTTGCAGGGCGAGGGGCAGGATGGTAACTTCATGCCCAGACACAGTAGGGATCCCAGAGGGGACAGCTGCCAGCAGCTGATGGGGGCTGCCACCGACCTCACCTTCCCCAGCTCTGACTTCATGTTCCCGTCCCCTTCCTTTCCCTGCCTCCAGTGCTCCCACTGCTGGCACAGCAGGTGCCCATCCTTTTTGGTGGAGGGATAGAGACACGTGGCTGTGGGACAGGGTGCATAGCCATGGTGTCCGCTGGCTTAGGATGCCACATACTGCAGTGTGGCACTCACTAGCGGCTGCCGGGCTGCGTGCAGCACAGTAACATGGGCTTGGTGTCTGCTAGGCACAGCCTTCCTGAAGAAGCACAAGACCAAGCTTTGTGTCAGGATGAGGCAGCTCCCAAGCATTCTGCTACACTTACGGGATGCAAACGTCATCAACAGCGATGAAGAAGAGGAGGTGCAAAGTCAAGTTACGAGTCAAAGGAAGAACAAAGTTTTGCTGGAGCTAGTTGAGAAGAAAGGGCTGGAGGCCCAGGAACAGCTCTACCAGATCCTCCAGATGAAAGACCCATACCTCATCGCAGACCTGGACAAGTCCAGCTAGACTGCTTTTGCTAAAATTGCTTAGCTTACAGGAGCAACAGAAAGGCAGTCGGGTTTACCAGCACCTGAATCCCAACCTTCCAATGCAAAATCCATGGTGCAAAGCAGCAATAAGCCTTCTGAACCACCCAGTCTCAGGCCTACCTCACTTGGCTGACTCGGTTGGCAGCAGTGGACAACCAGTGTCATGTCAGCCACTGGTGAGAAGCTGATGGAATGAGACGTTGGTTCCCAATCCAGTGCCAATACCTTGGACCTGTCTGCCTCCCTGAGACAGGGCCTCTGCAGCTGCTGGCAGAGGAGCTCCCATCACAAGAGGTACCTCCAGCTCAGCCTCCTCATCCTCAGTGTCCATGGGCACCTCTTGCAGCTGGAAGAGGGGAGCTGCTTTACCATGCAGAGCTGTCTGCAAAGGCTTGTTCTCATGCGCAAGCCGCAGCAAACTATAGATGTTGATGTGAACCCATATCAACATCAAACCTTCTCCTTGTTTCCCTCCAGCCTAGTTTACCCAAATGACCAAAATTCACTGAAGGAGCAAATGACCATCCTGACCCCAGCAGCAGCTGGGTGAAGGAGCCCCTCTGAAAGAAGCCACAAAAAATAGCAAAGATAAGAGATACGGGTTCGTGCATCTTCAAGAAAAGTCTGACTGAATAGCAGCTGCTTTATGTTCAAAAGAAAGCTGGCAGATTATTTTGAAATTACATTTTTACATATGTAAAATTACATAAAGTCCGCTCCTTTCTGGATCATGTGGTTGCCTTTACTGATGGCATCTTCCTGCTGTTGAACACACCAGTCAGGGCAGGAGCAGTCTGCTCGGGTGTCCAGAAGAGATTTTTTGGATCCAGCTCAGGTGAAATTCAGACTTGCCTAAGTGGAGACAGCAACTTCTCTGTGGCCTTGTAGGGTGGAAATGAGACTGCTGCCTTAAGTATTGCTTTATATTTATTCCTTCTCTTGAACACCTGGAGAGCACATCACTGCTGAAACCTGCTATAAGAGTATGTCTCTGCTCCGTTAAGGGTCGAGGACCTTCAAAGCAACCAGGGATAATACAAAAAGGAGGAAGATGGGAACAAGACCATGCAGGGATGCAGACCTGACTGCCAGATGACAAGGGAGGCAGCAAAGGGGACCAGTGATCACCACTCACACTAAGTCTTGGGCTATCCAGAAACCACACTGGGGCTGGTCCTTCCAGGAGGATCTGCCTGGGCTTTGCAAGTGCTGAGTGTGCAAAGGAGGGGGACCCCAACACGGGCTGTGGGTGGGGGGGAATGGACCTGTGGGGATGGGAAGGGGAACCAGGAGGAACAAAGTGAGGGGAGGCAGAAAGGGGTATAAAAGGGGCCACTGAGGTACAAACTGGGGCTGGTTTGGCTGCGCCCTGTGCCTGGTCACCACAGTTTGTCCCATCTTTTTATTTTTTCTTATTAAATGTTTTCTTAACTATTTCTCTGCATCATGTCACTCTATCCCGTGTGTGTGCTGCAAGGACCAAGTGTCAGCTATTGGTGAGACCTGTGTGTGCATCAGGGGCTTTGGTGTCACCTGCTGGGGTGAGTGGGGTCCCAGTGCAGTTACTGGAGTGGGTGGGGGGTCTTTAATCTCCAGCCACGGGTGTCCCCAAAAGTAGCTACTGGGGGCGACCAGTGTGAGGCGAATGAGGGGCTCCGTGCAGCTGGAGAATGTGTCACAGCCTGTGTGTCTGGGGAGGGGGGGGGCAAGAGTATCCCCCCCAAACCGGGTGTGTGCATGGGTGTGCCTGTGCATTCACCAGCAAAATTCAAGCTGGACCAGCTGGTGAGTCAAGGACCCCTGGGGTGAGTCTGAGCCTGGGGTGCAGGCAGGGGTGCCAGGGGGACAGAGGGGCCACGCCGGTGCTCGGGGGACCCACGAACGTGCGTGCATTTGTGAAGTGCGTGTGCCCGCACTTGTGACCTCCCGCCTCTGCCACAGCAGAGGAGGGGACGGGGTTGGTGTGTGTGATGTGGGTCCCGCGCGTGGGTGCTGATGACGGCAGCGCCCTGCCTGCGGCCGTCCCTGTGTCCCGTGTCTGCGTGTCCACGCGTGCGTCTCTGGGACACGCGCTCAGCTTCGCTGCCGGTTGAATCCACAAAGGAGAAATTCCCCAGCCCGGGCAGGGACCCCGGCGGGGGGGATCCCGGCGGGGGGTGCCGAAGGCGGCAGACGCCGTTCTCTCTCTTTGCGCGCACCCACGGTGCGCTGCACTGCTCGTCCACCGCTCGGGCTGGGGTCGAGAAATCCTCGGTCGTGCCTCAGCTGGCCCAGGGGCGTTCGCGTTTGCGGGCAGGAGCGGGCACCGGGGCTGCAGCCACCACCGGTCCCCGGCAGCCGAACACAGTCCTCCCGCCCGGACCGATCTCGGCGGCCGCGGCTGGACGGGCAGTGCTTGGCGGGAAGGGGGCGGGGCGGGGGAGGGGCGGGGCGCTCTAACCCGGGATTGGTGGGAGGTGCCCGCGGGGGAGGCGGGGCCGCTCTCTGATTGGTGCTCTCGCCGCGGGGCGGAGTGGGGCCCGTGGCTCTCGCGGGAACCGGGTACAGCGCGGGAAATTTTTTCCGCGGCGGCGCGCCGGGCCGGGCCGGGATGGTGCTGCGGGGCGGCGGGGAGGACGCCGAGGGAGCGCGGTGGGGCCG